AGTACGTCGTTTGAAGACTTGAAGACATTATTGATAAAGGCGTATCAAGGAGGAGAGGACAAATTGATGAACACTCTCCTGCTTGTAACGAGAATTCTTGAACCATGTGCTTATAGCACGGTATGTCGAATACGTTTCATTCTGATCGATTTAATTTCTCGTTGGTATAATATAATTCTATTTTGTTTTATCATAGGTGTTTAATACTACGAGCCCGTGGACGTTGGATGTATTATACTGTTTAAGTGATCTATACCGTCAACCGAATTTAAAAATACCGTCAACCGAATTTAAAAATGAAGTTCCAATTTCAGATAGAAATTTTATTCAAAAAGTTAAAAGTTGAACTCGAGGTGAAAATATCAATCATGTAGTAAATCATTATCTGTAATCTTAAATCTTAAATTTCTGTTATTTAGGATTTGAAGCCTGCAACGAGTTATTTCAATAACAATGCATAGACAGATTGTTGCGTACGTACGTCTTACAATTGAAATAGAAATTTATCTTCTCACAGATGTCTGCGTTGTCTCTCTATCGGGTCGACAGCGGTATTTGGATCTGATTTTTTTTTATTATTTATTCTGTTTGAATTAATGTATTTTTACGAAACTTAATAAAAATACAATACCGTTGTTAACAATGTTTAGTATTTTTTATTTCAGTTTTTGTAGTGTTTTCTACTATGATTTTATCGAATTTATAGTTTAACCAAAATAATGTTATAAATTGAAAAAAATTGACTGTGGAAATCACCGATTCATAAATCACGAAAAAATAAATAGCCTATTAAGTAGATTTACATGCACAGGCTGTCGCATGAATAATATAAACAAATTTTTTGAAATGTCGAGATGTCGAGATGAACGTTTTTCGTCAAAATTTGAATCGTAAACCAATTATTGTAGAAAAAAAAAACTACTATACATTAACACTATTTACTACTTATAAAATAATGAACCTTGTGATAAATTATCAAGTTTATTTGGTAAAATAGTTTTATGCATACCTATATTACCAAATAAAAATTAAAAAAAAAAAGCTCTAAAACCACTAAAAAGGCAAATATAACCTATCTGGTCAATTATTTCTTAGGTTCTATGAATATTTTTCTTAAATTTTCCCGGTCTTCCGTACCAATGTACGACAAAATTACGTTTCCAAAACAACAACCAGACACAATTTGTTACAAGAAACCATCACTGATATTTATGATTGGAACGCGATTTTTGATGGAAAATTTGTTTGCGGATACAAAACCATAAAAAAAGAACATACATCATAGTGAAAACAATATGTTCAGAATCTAAAACTTATTCGTTATTATATTTGAATATGGCTTAGTCTCTTGTGATCCATGCGCGGTTAAAACGCGACCAACGTAGGTTTTTTAGCTTTGCTGGTTTTCACCTAATATCTCGTTCACCATATTTATATTTATAATA